CTTTTTCAATCCGCTAGCGGTTTGGACTCTAACCGCTATCCGCTAATCTCAAATTGCTAAATAAAAATTTTACCAAATACTTTATTTATAACGGCTTCAAAATATATAAATTTACCAAACACTTATATTTAGCGGTTTAGGTAAAACCGCTAACTGTTCTCTCAAAACCGCTATACCAAACGGGGCCTAAATCAGACTACATGAAGTAATTTGCTTAAAGGCTAAATAAAAATACTAAACGAATTTAGAAATCAGCTCATTTAAGTTTAATTGATCCTTACATTTCATTAATATAAGGTTTAATGCTAAATTTGGTGCTTGAACTTTGCCTCAATGCATTTTTTGGTTCTTGTATAATTTGATGCATTTTTTGTCCCTTAACTTCATATATTACGTTTGGCCAAAAAAAAAAAAAGAAAAAAAGACTGGGAAATTAAGACGCCAATGAAACGTGGCCTGTTAAATTGATTAAAAAAATTAATTTTTCTTCAAATTTTTATAACCTCGTAACTGCCACAAAGCTAGCTAGGGAAGAGACAAAGAGATTAGCCGGGGACCAATATATATGTAACAGGCAAAAGGGGGAAATTAAGACACCTATTTACATGGGTTGTGAAATCAAGGACATCTACTTCTATTTGTCTAATCCAAAACACCTACTATTTGCTTTCGATAATCAAGACACATTTGGCAGAAGTCTCAAGTACCTATCTAGTCCCATTAAGTCTCCTATTGAGATGCTATTAATGTTGCCAATCCTTAGGGTAGAAGCAAGATAATGGCTTAAAACCTTGAGGTTTTATGTTCAAGTCTTTATCATGTGCAATTTGTTTTGAGAATTTATAATGTTTTAAGTGATCAATACACATTATATATATCAAAGAATATTTGAAATGCCATTTGTTCATTGTCAGTTAAGTTTCCGTCCAAGCCAAGGTATGTAGGTATTAAAAAATTACATGTATAAAATCTTTAAAATTAGGGTGTTTAAATAATTTTATAAAAAATCATAACATTAAAAATGTCAAAACGTCTAGATTTTTACTTTTTTCTTATCATATACGGGTATATTATTTTATAATTTAGACTGTAAAATACTTTTTCGATTATATATAAGGAGAAATCTATTTACACATAAATTTTACACATCATACTTATATAAAATCTCAACAATTCATTTATTCACTTTTCATGGTAAAGAGTTATTATGAGTTTTTAAATAAAAAAATAATTATTTTTAATAAATATGAATAAATCCTAACTATTGAAAGTGAAAAAGTAAATTAAGATTTTGTATAAATATAATATATAAAATTTGTGTGTAAAATAAATCCTTACTATATATACACTTCATTAATTAGTATATTCTATCAAGTGTATATTAAAAAAAAAAAAAAAGAAATGAAAGAAGAAAGAAAGGTGTTAATGCTGGAGACCTTGATTTGCTCTGAAGCGAAGCAGGTCTATACGTTTCATCTTTTGAAACGGTGGCCAAATTTTTGGATAGACCAATTAGAAAAATCTTTTGAATGGAAACGTGAGGTATAATTAATTCTTTAATATGGCGTTTGGTTGGGTTAATGACAATTGACAAACCCAAAACTCAGAAGGGTGAAGGGTCTTCATCAGTTCTGGAGATAGCTTTCACAAATTTCAAGATGCAGTTTTTCTTTCTGCTTCACTTTATGATTGTTAATCTAGATTGAGTGCTTGAAATGAATTCGCTTCTTCACAAAGTTAACCTAATTAACACCTTATATCCAAACGAAACTATAAGTAAACTTCTCGGACGTAAATTGGTTATAATATAAGGTTATTGCAATGCAGTGTTTTTTTTTTTTTTTTTTTGATAACGAATTAAAAAACTCACATTCTAATTTATATTTTTAAAAATTAATATTGAATTGAAATTTGTATTCATATAGATCCATTCATATCAATTTTTATATTAATTTAATACTTATAACTTTTTAATTAAAGAAATTCTATTTACTAATATATATTTAATAATATTAATTTTTATATAATCAAATATATAGTTA